TACTTATGAAATTTACCAAGAAGAAAGAAAAATAATAAATGTTGGAAAAAGAAAGCATCATGATGATGTATTATTACTTAATAAAAAGCAAAAATCTTTAAAAGAAAAATAACTACAATTTTCTTTGTGAATTTCAATTTATACAGAGGAAAATTACTTTTTTATTTTTAATCAAGGTCATTTCTTAGTTTCCTTAACCTCAATTTGTGCAGTTAGTTGACCATTCTGTTGTAATTGTTCTAACTGGTTCTTTAATTTCTCATTCTCTGCCTCATAAGCATTTAACTTATTGACTAACTCTTGAGGGGTTAAAGTTTTCAATTGTTCAATTTTCTGGGTCAATTTAATAATCTCTGTTTCTTGTTGTTTAATCTTATCCAATAACTCTTGTTTTTGTCTTTTATGCCAATCTTCAGATACTTTCAAAGATGCTGAGGCATGTAATTTTTCTTCTAGCTTTGGATACTGTGCTAAAATCATTAGGTAATGTGCTACTGATTTCATATAATTTATTTTTCCTGCCACAGGAAATAAAGAAGAAAATGCAGCCAAACAATGTTTTTGTAAATTAAAACTTCCAGTATGGTATGTATTCCTAATCTATGGACAATAAAGATCTCTATCCACTTGTAATATAAAAACCAAATCTTTAATATCATATTTTTATTAAAATCTTCATCTAAAATCTGATTTTTATTCATATTTTTTGACTTTAGCCAAATGTGTATTGAAATTCCTACTGCATTTTTAAAATAATATCTTATATAATATTTTATTTGATTAATATTTTTAAACAATATGATTATGAATTCTTTATTTCAACATGTTCTTTATATAATAATTCCAATTACTAGTTTTACTACTTTATTTTACTTTATCTATAATAAAATTTGATTTATCTTTATTTTTACAAATAATAATGAAGAAATAAAGAATAAATAAATAAAGAACAAAAGTAATGAAAGAACAAAAAAATCAATAACAAAGAACGAAAGAATGAAGAGTGAAAGAATTTGTTTTTAAATATAACAACACAATAACAGAACAACAACTGAAAAGATGTCTGCTCATTAGAAACAACGTTATTATAACTAAAATTGGTTTTTTCTAGAGTTCAAGTAATTTTTGTAATGTTAAAAAATGTGTACGAAATGTATACAAAATTAAAATGGCGTTTTTTGCAAAAACTGTAAATCAAGTCACCTTTGGCGTATTATCAAATGTTAAAGAGCGTTATTCGTTTTACTTATTCTTTTTGTCAGATCGGGTTATGGTTGCTTGGTTTAAAAGAATCCTCAAGCTTTGTGTAAAATAGAGGGGGGTCTTTGACTTAAAACTGTGCGATGTAGAAAAAATAATATTGTAAATAAAATATGTAAAAATGTTCTTTGAAACCTTGTGAAAAAGGTTTGTATGTACCATTTTCTTAATTGGTTAGAGATTTTTATGAGTAAAGAGTGTTAAAAGAAATTTTTGATTTCCGACTAATGTTACACGCACTAATAAATTGGATTTGTCCAGGAAAGTTCCTAACATCAATATATTAGACAAAAATTTTTTTTTAGGCAAGACAAATTTCTTCACAATGAATACTGATGAACGTCTTGCAAAATTAAAACAACGATATGAACAAGGACTTATAACCAAGGAAGTTTATGACAGAAGGCAACTCCAAATTCTCGATGAAGAGGATAACAAAGGTAAACAAATTGCATAAAAAAAAATTATTTTTCGTTCATTCTATTTATTTTATTTATTCTAATTAAATATGCAATTTCTATCCATCCACCAATTTTATCCTGAATCAACTTTTTAATTTTCCTGTTCATCTTTTGTCCATTAAAGAAGAATCAGGTGAGTCAATTTTTATGATGAATATTTACATTTGTGAAATATAACTAACTTGTGCTCTTTTTTTCTCCCATGTTTGAAAAACAAAGTGAAAGGGCAGGATGTTTTTATAGAATATGATCTAGAAGAAAACCGTTTATTTTGGAACAATCTATATAATGCACAAATTATTATCAAATTGCCTGATAATGTTGAAAAAACTATGTTCAAGTTGAAACCATTTTCAAATTACATGAAAGTTGAAGGGAACGATATTGTATTGAATAATGAAGTAATGCTAAACTCAAAGAGCGAGTTAATATATAATAATGGTACATCTATAGAAGTCAGACCAAATGAAAAGGTAATAATTTCAAGTGATTGGGCTAAGTTTTTACGTCTTTGTAATTCTCCAGAAGGAATAGTCATTGGAGTATCAAAGCAGCATATATACATAAAGAATTCATATATTGAGATGATTGAAAAAATTGAAAATGATCGTGATCAACTGAACACAAAAGGGTGTGTTATAGTTGGAACGCCTGGGATTGGACAATCACATTTTGCAATTTATTTTGCTTTTTACATAACCCGTCGTTATTCAGCAGATATTATTTTTGAACAATTAGTCAAAGACACCAATCGAAGTAATATTATTTATATTAAACAAGATGGGGATATAATGAAAATTTCTGATATAATCCAATGGGTTGCAAAAAATAGCTATTACATTGTTGATTCTGTATCTCCTACTTTAGTTACAACTGAATTTACACTTCTAGTTACAACACCAAGAAATAGTCGATGGCATGAATTTATGAAGAGGGAAGATATTTTAAAATACTATGCACCTATTTGGGAAGAGAAAGAAATTTGGGATGTTTGGAAATGGGATGCAAAATACAAGAATAATATAACTGAAGATCGAATCAATGAGTTGATTAAAGTTTGGGGTTGCATACCACAACGAATTTTCAATGAATATCATAAAGAGCCAAAGATCCCAGAAGTGATTGCTCAATGTAATGTTCATCATTACATCAATTTTGAAGGGGAGGAATTAAATGAACATTATTCTGGAAAAGCAATACACATTTATCCTAAATCGAATTTCACAGATAAAGAATATGTTCCTGCTTCAGATTATATGTTTGAGGCTTTGTTTGATAAATACAAAAAAAAAACACAAAAGATAATATCATTAGTATAATCAAAAATTTTACAAGAGGTCCTGGTGCTTCATTATCTGGAAGATTCTTTCAAGTATTAGCACACAATTTATTGCAAAAAGGTGGAGAATTTAATGTGCGAAATTTAGCCAGTAATATCTGTGTAGAATTGCAACTTCCAAGATTAAAACAAAATTTATTTAAATCTATTGATGAAATAACTTTAAAAGATTATTATAATATTCCTGAACAAAAGAACTTTGAGTCGATTGATGCTCTTGTACCTCATTGTAATTATGGAAATAATGAAGTCCATTGTTTATATCAGATGACAATTGCGAAAAAACATAATATCAGGGTAAAAGTTAACATTTGTTTTCATTTAGCTTTGTATTATTATGAACCGACTACATTTATTTTATTAATGCAGGTAAATGGTCTCCAAAAATTGAAAAGTCTATTGGATAATGGTCCACAAATCCATTTATATTTCGTTGTTCCAAATGTAGATGATTTATTTGATAATTATCAAGAGCAGAATTATGTTACAGTAAATGACACTAAATACACAGGATGGAATAATGAAACAGAATGGATCAAAAATAAAGTAATTCAACATGTTCTTCTCATCAAGCTTTCAAATTTTAATTAAATATCTTGTTGGATAAAAATTGTTTAAACCATTTTAAACAGTTGCAGTTGAGTAAATGTAAACTAATGATTAAAATAAATACATTTTTTCCACATTTATACTATTCTAAATAAAAAGAATCTACATTTCTAATAATGTAAACAAATAAACCATTTATTATCTAATAAGAAAAAATTATTTTTACCATTCCTATTGTTACCAGAATTAAACAATGACGAAGATATTTGGGCCGAATCTTTTAATTTCGAGCCAAATTAAAATTTATTTCTATTTTAATTTTAATTTCTATTTTTATTATTATTATTTTATTTTATCTATTTTTATTTTTATATTGTTATTTTCTATTTATTCTTAATAACGCGTATAATTATTATTCTTTGAATTCGTGTTACGTGTATTTAATTAATCCGTAGCACATTCATATTTATTTAACTTTATTTAGTAGAGATTAATGACGATTAGCCCAGACTGGGCGGAATCGCCCAAACCGGACGGAACTGCCCAAGTAAAAGTGGGCAGAATCGCCCAATTCGGGCGGATATGTAAAGGACATGTATATAAAGAACTTGATTTCGACCTAATGTAAAAGTAACTTCTGATAAGTTAATTAGTTTCGACTAAGGAAGTAATTTGTTAACTTTGTTATAGTTACAAGTTAATTAGTTTCGACTAAGGAAATAAATTTGTAAACTTTGTTACAAGTTAATTAGTTTCGACTAAGGAAATAAATTTGTTAACTTCTGATAAGTTAATTAGTTTCGACTAAATAAAACTAAATAAATAAAATAGTAATATTTTATTTAAATAAAACTTTTATCTTCTTTACCCAAAATTATTCGCTAATAACAAAATCAATTCGTTGATCCCCTATTCATTCTGATCCACGCAAAACAAAAATAATTGTTATCACCCATTAAAACACGCTCTCCCAAAATTAATCGGTGACACTATCTAACCTGTACTTTTCAAAAAAAACCAAAAAAGGATAGGTACAGGGGTCCTGACATGGGATATTAAATATATTGATATGTATTATATGTATATTATATGGGAATTCCATGCCATATTATTATTATCATTATTATTATTATAGCTGTTTGTCATAATTGCCTCTCTTGTCACTGTATCTGTAATGCCATAATCCTGCCATAATTACCATAATTAATTTTGATAGTTGTCAAAATTATTTCCATAATTTTTTAAACTTTTTAAATCAATAGCCATAATTCTGGGTGGTTTTTTATGTAGATTAATATAGAGAATAATGGAAATGCAATAACAATAATGTTGCCATAATATATGGCAAATACAAAAACAATTATATAATATACATATTTATATGTATAAAAAAAACATGTTTTCCTAATGCTGTTAAAAAAAAAATAGAAAATATTAATATTCTTCTAATGATTATAAAGTAATTACATTTAAGTGATGATTGTGTCCTGTGAAATTAATTTTCTCTTGTTTATGATAGAACCTCAGAACATACATGTTTTTATACCCTTATTGGTTGTGTTTTCTAAATAATAAAATACCATTTTTGCACACTATAATTCTGAAAACCTACAAAATGAACATAAAATATATATAGGGATAAGTGTATATGAAAAGTAGTAATAAATATAATGGTTCTAATGAATATCAAAAAGCAATTGATTTTTTAGAAGAAGGCTGTGGTTGTGGATGCTCTTCAAGAATTCCCAAAGAAGAATTTGCAGAATTAAGGGAATCCTTTCAAGCTCTTTCTAAGTCTGAACAAGACATATTTTTAATGGCTCAACTTAAAGCAATGGATGGTGGATC